GACCAGAATAAAAGTCAAACAAGCTCTTATATTGAGGACTGGAGATAGTATTTTATTCATATGCCCACTAGGTACCATGGTCAATGTCATCTTTTGTCTGGCGTGCACCTTTATATTGCTGTTCGGTTTACTGTTGGTAGTTACTTTCAGTGTTCGCTCTTAAACCGCATGGCTAGTGACGTGGTTGCGTGCCATTTTATCTTAATTACTTCATCAATAATTTATGTTGTCTTGTTCTTATTTTGCATTTTGATTTTCCTTGTTGCAGATTCTCAGGGCGCATCGTGTAGTCTGAAGAGCGTTTATTCATAACTAGGAGGAGGCTGTTTTCTTTTAGTTTAATTTATGACCTTTTGTTCTGTTGAGCACAATAGATTGCTTGTTCATGATGTGGAAAGATCTGCATTATTTCCCATGAGTGTCAATCAGCGTTGCGACAACCCTTGGTTTAAAAGAAGACTAGGTATATATATTATGTTCTTTGTTGTCTGATTTTTGATAAAATCATGGCAAGAGTATAATTTTTCAGATTAGCATCGCATTATTGACTCATTTCAGTAAAATTCTTCCAGATCATGTTTTTATTTGACGGCAAAGATGATATTTGTTGTGTAATTTCTTAGATCTGGATCAAGCTGTGTTTCTGCGTAAATATTGAACGATTATATATGTACCGTGTTTTGATTATATAACTATGTGGCTAACAAATTTACAAGATGATGAAGTTTACAAGCTTTGAACAAAAAGATTTTTTCTACGAGAGATCTCGAGCAATATATGGAGCCGACTTATCATTTGACACTGAAGATGCAAAGAATTGGATCCCAAATTTTGGATGGTGTATTTGATTTAAGAGTACTGGTTGCTTGATCCATGTTTATAATATCATCAAATTGCTGATGTGAGACTTGGGAAATATATGCATATAACCTAATGTTAATCAAATGGTCCAGCGCAGGGGGGATCATTTTGGAATTTGGAATCAAATCCGTTCCTATATAGTATTGCCAAAACATTTATTACTATTTGCTCATCCCTCTACGATCTCCGCACCTAACCAATAAATATTTGGAAGGATATGTGTTTTGGCCCGATTTGTTAAAAAATAAAGAAGTCAGTTGCGATGTCTATATCATTGGAGGCAATAATAAATAAAGACTCTTCACCAAAATAAATAAATAAAAACTTGTAGCAAAATAATAATAACAATAATAATAATAATAATAATAAAGACTCGAGCAACGTATCCCAAGTAACATCAAATTTATGTGGTTAATTGTTTGATCGTTCTTCCTAAATCTATACAGTGATCTTCAGATTCTCATTGGAGAAATGATAGTTTGAGACCAAGAAATAATCCTACGACATGTTTTTTAATTGGTTTTGTATGCGTGCATATTCCTGAACCATGTGCACTTCCACATGTTTACCCAAAGTTGCAAAAAAAAAAAAAAAAAAGGCAATCTGAGATCCCCCAAAAAAAGGGTCAACGGTCAATGCCTTCCTAATAACAAATGTGATCATGACGTTACTTCTCATGGATTAAAGGAATGAAAATGTTACTATTATTAATGGAGTATAATTGTAAGAGTCCCAACTCACAACTTTGCACGATGATAATTTGAGCTTTACAACGAACAAAAGACCTGATAAAAAGTCAAACACATCAACTTATTCAGTCGGATGAAAAATAAATAAAGCAACTTTGAGTTATATTTTTTAAAAAGCTAGAATCAATATGCACAGTTACACACATTCACAATCTCGGCTGTATGAAAAACGCCATAAGCATTTAAAAATTATTTTCTAATTCTTAATGTAAGATCTAATTAACTAATTTGAGAAGATTAAGAATATTAATTAAATTAGCTAATATTACACCTTAAGCAATTTTCTCAATTCTCTTCATCCCTTCCCTACTTGATTATTGTTAATCTTAAAAAAAATTGATAAACATGTGAAGTAGGTTTTACATATAGGACCAATATTAACTGCTTGATTAGATCCAACATTAAAGACTAGAGGAGTACTTTTATATAAAGAAAAACAAAACCCATCTCACATTCTTACTATTAACTTATTTACTTGCGACTCATGTGGCCTTTATTGACTTAGTATGACCTTTTTTTTTGGTGAAGAATAAAGAAGGGGAAGCCGATGAGCTGAACAACATGTCTCATATCATGGCTTCTTTCATCATATATGGTAGACATGTTGCCCATTAATTCACTAAATGGGTGCCACAAACTATTCTTTATGGAAATCGTTTTGTTATACCAAACAATTTCTTTATTTTTGGATCGGAGAGGACAATCAATTATTTAATAATTTGGACTCTCACGCATAATAACAGTTATATTAATACGTGATTAGGTGTACCTTACTGAGAAATTATACACGCTGCATGCCAGGGAAGAATTAGAACTAGTTCAAAAATATGATGAATAAAATATTTTAATAACAGAAGTGAAAGAACGAGAGTGCAAGTACATGACAATAAGTGGGGCCGCTCATGACGTCTTTAATGTATTAAAAATTTGAGGGAAATAAAGAAAAAAATTGAGAGAACTGATAAACTCAAATCATCCAATAATAGATCCTGCTTGGCAAAAAAGAAAAGAAAAGAAGAAGCTATGAGCTTAAGGCTTACTTACTGAGGATAACTTAAAATATAGTAACATAAACAAAAAGTTCACAATTCAAACTTTGTCTTGAAAGATAAGATGCTTGAATTAGCTTCTTAGAAGTAATTTATACCAATTTGAGTAAAAGTATTTTTTTAAAATATTTTTGTCTATGCCAAACACCCCAAAGTAAAAGTCGTTCACTTGTGAGAAAATTAGTACTTGTTTGAGCTAAGATTTTAAAACAGTTGCATGAACAGGTATAGATCATTCTTATTTTAGTTATAGGTTAGAAAAATAAAATATCTTGAGCCTAACGCGTGTTGGTTATATATACTTTATTATAATTCCAAGTGGAATGCGTGTCCCTTGCATGAACAATTCTGGGCTGACCCCATCTTCGCTCGTTGAAAATCCACTCCCAAAATTTTGACTTCACCTCTTTAATCATCTTAATGAGTTTGATCACTTCAACACAATTTAATTAATTAATTAATTACTTTTCTCATGCCGTAATGGGTTTGGTTGATTTTTCTGTGCCTAAACTTACGGAGAAAGTGACTTGAAACGCTTCAATTCCATTTGTCATGTGATCTGCAAAACGAAACGCACTTTGTAATAAAACTTTCATGTGATGTGAATTCCCTTTTGCTTTGCTTTCCTTTGCGTCCTTCCTCCTCAAAACCCTCCAAATCAGGGAATCAGCGTACTAGTCGGCCTTTCAAATTTAATAATAATCCCACTTATTATATGCTATGCTACTATTATTTTATCCATGCGATGCTTAGGCATTATCAGAGGCAGGTTATTAGCACGCTTCTTTCTTTAATACATGCACAGTACAGCTACCGCTTTGTGAATGGACTATTTGTTACAATAATACAAGTACCTCTTAATATTGCGATATTGTGCAGTCAAAATTTGCTTGGAGAAATACCCAAGAAACACAAAATTGGAACGGGTCAAGGGAAGGACCTAATTTCTGCACGACTCAGATTTTTGGGCCTTAATAGTTGAAGAAAAGTCATAGGTTTTAGGCAAGTAGATTAAGCAACGAAGGAAGGAAGGCGGCGTTTGGACCAGTCTCCTCTCCAGTAATGCTCTTCCACCTATCACGCCACCCCTCTCTCTATTCTTTTTTTTTTTGGGGTTACAATGAAACTACTGGTAAGATCAGATTTTATTATCAGGAATCCGACTAATCCGGTTCAACATAACTGAAGTCACTTGAAAGGAGTAGGAGTCTCTCAATTGATTAGGATTTTTTTCATGCTCCGGACTAAAACCTAATACGTCTGATTAAGGAGTTAAGATACTTATCATCTGAACCAATTCCTTGTTGATATCATGCCACCTTTTATTTGATTTGCGCAATGCCCTGGAGTAATCTTCTGTCATTTCTTAAAGTTCCCAAACACGGTTCTCTTGTTTCTTTCAAACCCACTTATTTTAACTTCTCAAAGACGAAGCATGTGCTCAAGAGAGAACAATGCTTCTCTTCTCAGGTTCCGTAACTGTGTTTGCGTTTTATTTACCATATTTATGCTAACGCCTTGGAATCTTTTCCCATTTATTTTAGGATATTCAGTTTGCTTCATCGCCACACCATTCTCCAATTTTTAGAAACATTTCATTTCATCCTTTTATTATAATGCTCATACTTTCAATTTAACTTGTATCGTATAATGAGCATGGTTTTTGAGCCCCCCCTATTTCTTGGTAGATGCGTCCTCCACTTTGACGTTTTTATTTCCAAACCTCAATTCTAGCCCACCTAACATATTCATTCCCCAAACACTAATTTAATTAGATAAATTCAATTTTAATTGTTAGCAGAAAATAATAATGATAATAGCCCCAAGCATCGAGAAAACGAGAAAAAATATATATATGGTATGATTTTGTTTTCTTCGTCCCTACATGCATAAATAAAGGGTTGGGTTGCTAATAAGTAATTATTAGTGATTTAGATATTAATGTACTCCTCTGGTCTTTAATATAGGACCCAATTCTTGAGTTGTTTTTGGTCCTAAATATAAGACCCATTTCTCATATTTATCAATTTTCTCACCCATAATCAAGTAGAAGAGGGAGAGGGGGTATTAAGAAAGATGATTATGGTATTTTGGAAAAAATGTGTCACTTTTCTTATAATTAACTAACTTACCTAACTTCCTTAATCTAACCAAATTAGTTAAATGGGTCTTATATTAAAGATCGGATGAGTAATATTTTTAAATTTTAATTCAATTTTAAAGGGGGAAAATAACCGAAACGAAGTGCAGGAAAATGAGCCTCTGCCTCTGCTGTACGCGTTTCCCTCCTCTGCTTTAAATGCTCCTTCTCTTTCCCACTGTCCCTTCCATTCATTTGCAGAGGCACGTTTCTTGTCGGTAATTCTCAAGCCTCCAGCTTTCTTCTTAATTCGAACCATTCTCTTTCTTTCTCTGCCCCTCTGTCTCATTCTGTGACTTTCTTCTTAATTTCTCTGTTTCTCGGGTGTTGCTCCTTTATCTCCCATGACATCAGATTCTCAGATCCATGGGAGAAGGCTTGCGCACTCTTCATTCTCTTCATGCATAATTTCTTTTTCTCCATAGCTCCTCCATTGCTCAGATCCCTCCTGGCTTAAACCCTACGAGATCCGTCCCCTTCTTCTCGTTATACAATTAACCCCTCCACGCTGACCCCCTTCTCCTCTGTTTCCCAATTTCAGGACGCCGATCAAGGCCGGCCTCCCAAAATGAAGGCTCAGAGTCGTCTATTCACATTCGGGCTTATCGCTTCCTGGTACTCCTCCAACATTGGGGTCCTCTTGCTCAACAAGTACTTGCTCAGCAACTATGGCTTCAAGTACCCGATCTTCCTCACCATGTGCCACATGACCGCTTGCTCCTTGCTCAGCTATGTTGCTATAGCTTGGTTGAAGGTTGTGCCTATGCAGACAATTCGATCCCGGGTCCAGTTCTTCAAGATCTCCGCCCTCAGTTTCGTCTTCTGCATCTCCGTCGTCTTTGGCAACATTTCGCTTAGGTACTTGCCCGTGTCCTTCAACCAGGCAGTTGGTGCCACGACTCCATTCTTCACTGCAGTTTTTGCTTACCTCATGACTTTCAAGAGGGAGGCCTGGCTTACTTATGTTACCCTTATTCCTGTTGTTACTGGAGTCATCATTGCAAGCGGGGTACGTGAGTTATCCTATTTTTCTTTTCAATTTATAATTTGATTCTGCATGTGCAATTCTATTTTGCCTTTTGTTTTTCTATGCCATTTAGAATTGGATGAAGTACATGTTACGGACGGTGTTTTCATTTGTGGAAAATTTGTTGCTGGCACTTGATTCCTTATCATTTAAAGATGGGAATCTTTAAATGTAATTTTATGTTTTAGTTATTTCTGTTACAAATCCTACGCTGGGATTGGTGCTTCACAAATGTTGAATTTCTAAATGAAAAAAACTGTGGATCTCATTTCTTATGTAATGTTCAAATTATGTTATACACCCAATATTCGGACTTCTAATTTATTACTTCTATTGGTCTTTATGTGATTATAGGGTGAACCAAGCTTCCATTTATTTGGGTTCATAATATGTGTTGCAGCTACAGCTGCAAGGGCCCTCAAAACGGTGTTACAGGGAATTTTACTTTCTTCCGAAGGGTAAGCTATTTTCAAGTAACTCATTGATCCGTGTCTGCACTTTGTGCTACTAAGGAACAACAACTCACATCATAGTTATTTTATATCAGGGAGAAGCTGAATTCTATGAACCTTCTACTTTACATGGCTCCAATGGCAGTTGTTTTCCTTCTTCCAGCCACACTTGTAATGGAAGAAAATGTAGTTGGCATCACACTAGCTCTTGCCAGAGATGATATCAAGATCATCTGGTATCTGCTATTTAACTCAGCACTTGCATATTTTGTCAACTTGACCAACTTTTTGGTCACAAAGCACACCAGTGCTCTTACCCTTCAGGTATGTCCCACTTCTTCAGATAGGACTATGCGTTTCCCCTCCAAAATTTTCAACCTAATAGACTTTTCTGTAAATAAAAGGTCAAATACTTGCAATTGTTACAAACAAATCCAGTATTTAAATTAAAGTATATGTGTGTTTTGCCATAGTCTTCGTCATTCCAGTGGTTTGTTTCTTTGTAACTCATTTTGACTACATATTTGGGCGCATTCCTATGTCTGTCGTTGGGTTTATCTTGTTTTAGTGAAAGGTAGAATCTCTTATGATTACCAGAGAATCAGAGACTACAAAATAATAACACCAGCCTGTTCCAAGAACAATTCAGAGGATCAGTGAGAATTTTAAAGCTAGCTTAGACCTTAGCATTGCCCAACCCTTTTACTGACAGGTCAAGATAAATTAGATCTAAAGATGAATTCTTTAATGAAATTTTACATGTAAGGTACATGGGTTCAAATATTTAGGATGGGGTTGTTATCAATGGAGTCAAATTGTCGCATAATCTGTTTAATTCATCAGATTCACTCTTGATGCTTGCGATGGGATCCCCTGCTAAAAATACCATAAGAGAGCACAAAAAGCAAAAGGAAGTGATATTGTATTTCATCATAGGGGATCTTGTTATGCAATGGAATTCAGCACTCTTCAAATCACACTACATAACCTTTAGACAGGTTCCAACAACACCGAATACAACACAATACACCAACAGCACAGAGAACATAAATGGAGTATGACACTGCGGTGGAAACTTAGATTATGAGTTAGACATGACGGAGTAAGGGTACTATAATGCCTGTAACATGTCTCATAAGTTGCTACGAGCCAGCATACAGCGCTTAAAGACAATGCTTAAACCAACATAGTAAGAGAAGAGACAAGGTGCAACACTGAAAATGGCTCAGGATATGAAAATACTCAGAGAATGGATCCTTTCAATTTTTCCCTGAAGTTGACAGCATCAATTTTGGAGAAAAAGACAAACACTGAGTGCATGGGGTGTATCACTTGAGGGGATCCCACGCATTCAAGTGTGACTCACTACTGAAGTGGGCTTGTGACATCTTCTACCTCCCCGCACCCAAAATTTTCTCTATAAGAGTCAGAAAGAAATTGAGAGAATCATTGTCAGTATTCTTCCTAGTACTTCTACCAAAATGTTCTCCCTCGTCTGAGGCTGATCACCGTACTCAAATTCTCTTCCAACCACTTCCACCTATGTGGTACGAAATCCTCCTCTAATTTCCCTTTTCCATGCATATGGAACCACTGCTCCTCCTGATGGTGCTGCCATCTAAGAGAATTGTTCAGATCTTGGATCATCTATATTTCCTAGCAGCACATGCTGCACCTCCAAGACGAGCATAGGGACTGGGAGGCTTGTTTAAGATATTTCCAGTTGAAACATGGTTCAGTTGGTTCTCTGGTCACAGCTGAACAACCTGATTGTTTCTCAACTGAGTGAAAACAAATCCTGAGGGTCTTGTTAATTGCAGTGAATTGATTTATGGCCATAGGCCGCATAGCTGAAACTTAAACTGAGGATGATTTTCCTGAGTGGTTTTGTGTATTTTTCGAAGAGGAAGGTTCAAAATTAACTTCTGCTTATGTCGGCTCTCTCTCTCTCTTCTCCTTTTTATGTCACCTTATGATTCAGAGAATTGTAAGATTATGCAGTAGTGGCACCATGTTTTGAAGTTTAAGTTGATAGGAGAAAGGAATCTGATTGGAGTCGAATGCGGTCTCTTAACGAAGTCTAGTTTTAATTCTCTTCATAGTAATCATGAACTGTGGCTGCATTGATATATTAAACGAAATGATTGGGCAAATGTTTTGGTTGCTTGACTGCTTATGGCTTCCTCTACTCTATCCACCTCAAGCCCCCAGCCTTTTCAACACAGTCGTTATTTTTGCTTTATTAGATGCTCTCTGCATTTGGCATATGTGATTTATGCACCGTCTAACATAAGAGTTGGCTCATGCAGGTACTCGGGAATGCTAAAGGGGCTGTAGCTGTAGTGGTTTCAATTCTTATATTTAGGAACCCAGTGTCTGTCACTGGAATGCTAGGCTACACGCTCACAGTGTGTGGAGTTATACTTTACAGTGAAGCCAAGAAGCGAAGCAAGCCACAACATTCTTAGGGAAGTCCCAAGTGATGTCCCTGTATTTTGTTTTCATTACTGCACAGACGACCTCAAGATTCCATGAGGCAAAAGTGTTGAAGGATGGTAATTGTCAGAATCCGGAGTCATGAAATCTTTGACTGAACATTTGTTTTTTTCCCATTCGGAAAGCCTCATTCAACGGGTTGACATTGTATTGGCAGCTGTGCAGAGTCAGCCTACAGTAGATATTTTCAATAAGTTACTAATACTCTCTCATTCCTTCTCTATTTATATTGTTAGACCCATGATGCTGGGGTCATCGAGGAATACCTAGCATTAATTCTTTTGTTGAGGTCTTTACATTCATGTTTTTGCTGTAACGCATAATGCCATCATAGATTAATTCCATTCAGTGATTTGTACATAATTATGATTATGATATTTTCAGTTTGAATTACACTTATTTCAAATTCCCCTTAGTGTTTTCAAGTGAGCTTGCCTGCTGGGTTTTCCAGCACGAGATACAAGGGAGATCTGGTAACGAATGATCATATGGAATGAGAATGGATTTGCAAGAGATTATAACGTTGCATGAGTGAAGCCATTAAAAACGGAACCAATAAAGATTCCTTCACTATCAATTCAAGTACAAAATGGACGAGAGGCCATGCCACCCCTCTGAAAGACACATCTTGCAAGCCACACTATTTAACTGAATGCACAATTGATAATCATTTGCACACCACACATAGAAAGATGTAAAAGGCCGAGTATAAGGCCATCATTATAGAACCAGAACAGGAAAAAAGCACGCATACAAACACTTGCAATGGACAAAAAATAAAATATCAGGCAGCAAGATTTAGGATTCTGGAACAGGGGTGGTTGCTCGTTTCATTGATGCAGACTTGATTAGATGACTATAACTTCCTTTCTCCTTAAAAAGCTGAGAGAAGTGGTGTTTGCAATACAAAATGCCCTCAAGAGCTGCATAATTTGACGGTGATATGGGACAGCCACCATGTGAACACTTGAAACATGATTTGTGATAGGCTTGACCCTCCACTGTTACCTACACTCAAAATAATTGCCTTTTATAGATGATGACAAACAAACTAAAGCATTTTCAGCATGACTAAGGAGACACTGGGTTTGCTCATATAGGTAAAGCATAAAATATACTCTCTTTAGTTTTAAATGTAGAACCCATTTCGTAGTGTAAATTACATTACCAAATAGGTTTAGTTACTGACTTTCAGTGGAGAAAGAGTTGGTTGTGCCCTTCCTGACTGAGTTGAACTCTAATGTCATGGCTTTCTTATATATATATATTCAAAATTAACATATCACATCAGCACCCTAGCCCTTCAGTTTAAACATGTTCGTGGTGATCATGATAAATAAGTAACACTGACTCGCTAACTACTTATATCTTTCAAACATCAAGCAGGGAAAATGGACACTGGTATAATAAATAAAGTTGACATTGACAATCTGCTAGGCAGCAAAGAATGAAATATAGGTACATTCTATTTCACTGTGAATCAACAAGTTCCTTGTCATACATATGACATTTTATAAAAAGTTTCTCAATAAGACAAGGAATTCAGATCCAAGGCACTCAACGCAAGGGAATCTATGTTTGATAGCACAACATGATATCATAGGAGGCATTTAGAACGGAAGTTGATACATGTTCATCAATTAATGCCAATAAGTAACAAACACCATTGAATGTCTCTTCATGCCGACATTTAAGTCCAAAATTCATTAAATCAAAGTAAATAGGACAGACACTGTATCACCATCCTTATATCCTGCCATAGCCCTAACAATTTCCAGGTACATATGAATACCATTGTTCCTGTTGCTCACATATTATTGAACCAGAGAGAAAAGAATTCCACTATTATAATGAATCTGGATGTGAATAGCAATAAAAATCCATCTTTGTCAAGACCTGAGCACCAATATTATCCATTCGTAACAAAAGCATAACCTAAATCAAATAGCATCGCAGAATTCACTTCTGGAAAATCTAGAACTGTACCTTCTCCAATGGATAAGCAGTTTTACCGCATGTAGCGCATTTCTCTTGTGTCCCAGAGAACATGCTGGCAGCCTTACTAGGGGACCTTGTCTAAAATAAACAAAAAATGCTAAAGTTCAACAATAAAACCAAATGCCATAGACAGATCACGATATCAATGAACCGTATAATCTAAACATAGTTTCTAAAGAAAACAACAGAGAGAGCTTAATATTTTTATTACCAGCTCAGGAGTCGTCTTATCAGCAAGCTTTGCAGCTGTTCAAAATGAAATTATTGCCAATTAAAGAGGTATCTGATTTAGAAATCATAAAGAGAGATCTATCTTGCAAGAAGACCTACGTGACTGAAAGTTCTTGTTGAAACTGCCTGTCTCCTTGAAGAGCTGCTCATAATGAGGCTTACAGTAGAGAACACCCTCCATTGAGGAATAGCTGCTTAGCTGAAAATAGAGATCATCAATAATATAAAGAATTCAGCGCTTTACTAGTTAACTAAAATATGTTCAAAATCATAAAAAATGTTTAAAATTCATTTTTTTAGCAGTCAGAACCGTTTTCTTGTAAAAAGTCAAAATATGTAACATTCTACTGTGATAAACCATCCCATAGTTTACACATCCACCGTTTGCTTTTGGCTGATATCACGGATGGATGCACAGTCTTCGATCTACGCAGATCAAAGAATTCATTCTCTCAGAAGTCATTCCAGCTTATGGGAGTTTACTCAAACGGAAGCACAAACTAAGTGAAGATTCAAGCAAAGAAACAAAATAACGTACGAAAGTAAGCTCTAAGAGTAAAGAAAAATAGTCGATTCCCCCCTTAAATCAACAATGCAATATAAAAAACAAGCAATTACAATAGACTACCTTTAATGTTCCTTTGCAATGAGAGCACCTGAAGCAAGCTTTGTGGTAAGCAACGCCATCAGCGGTTAGCTGATCCACGGGATAGACCGTTTTCTCGCATGCCTTGCACTTCTGTTGGGTACCGATGAAAGACATAGCTATGCCCTTTGGATCTAGCTTTATCACCAATTCCAAATCCCCAAGGGCCAAGCCAGTGAGTCAGACTCCCAGACTGCGCGTCTTTTCAGATTTGTATCTGCAACAACCTGCGCTGATAAACTAACCCCGATATGAAAAGTCCCCAGGAGAAAACAGTTTTGAGTTAATAGTCAGAAAAGGGTCAAACTAGAAGACAAATATCCGCTTGGTTCCAGAGAAAACTACAGAAAATCGAGTAGAAGCTGCCCTAGAATGGAGTCGGGAGCTAATGAAATACTGTCGAACTGGCAGAATCAAAAGAGCATGCTTACCTTGAAAACAGAGAATGAGAAATGGCGGATCGGTGAGGTTTGTCTGCGGGGACTGCTGATTTAAAGCGAAGAGAAGATTGAGTCAGTTACAGATTTGAAGGGTAAAAGGGACCGAACAAGATGAAAAAAATGATGACGGATCAATTATATAATCAGATGTTAATTCTTATTGCACCCCTCTCGTCTCTCTTACATCAGGATCACTCGACCTAGTTTATTGCTCCATGGATTTCAATTTTCAAAGTTCTCATTTTTTTTTGGAACTTGCTCTTTTTTTTAAGGCCAAGTTTCAAGAATCTTTGGACAAAATTAACCAAAAGGGAAAAAAAAAAGGAAGAGCAAGTCAATGTGCATCGAATCAATGAGGGATATTGAAGGAACAAAAATAAAAGTATTAACGTGGGGGAGACGAAAAAAGAAAAGGGAATTTTTTTTTTTTTTGGGTGAAGAAGAAAAGGGAATTTTATCACGAATGGAATATCTAATTGAATATTGAATAATACAAATATATCTTTCCCGGACACAGCCAGACAGGCGCCTAATGGTGGCCTTGACATCGGTGGGCCAGGGCCTTTTCAATTTCAAAGGTTAAAGTAAATTAACCTCTCATGATTCTTGGTTTTTTTTTTTTGACCTCATAACCTCTCATTATTCATTCAACAGAAGCGTACTAAATTTTAACTTTTAAAAATGAAGTCGCGAAATTAGAAATCTCAGCATTCATATGATATAACCCATATTAAAATCCAGTTTTTTAGGGGAGAATTGGTAAAAAAAAATTGTGGTTTGAAAATTTAATTGGTTGAAAAAGACTTGGATTTGAACATGTGCAAATATAATTTATGAGTACACCATATCTTTTGCTATGTGCAAATAACTTTCTGTATTGATGATTATTACACATCATTAATGATATGTTACACACAATAGAAGATATGTTACACTTACGTATCATAATTGTACTGGCACAAATTCGTGTCCTTTTAACTAATTAAATTTTCAAACAGGATTTTTTTAACCAAATTTCCCTTTTTTTTAATATTAAAGTTAAACTTCACACCTTCCCATCCTTTTCTTGGATAAAGAAAATTGGTAAGTTCTGCATCAACTTGTAAACACTTCCTCCATCCATAACACCATTGCCAATTGCCATCGTCTTCTTAGTTTCTAAGAAAGGTGTTTTTGGAATTGGAAACACGTCAGCTTGAATTAAGGCAAAATAAATTATAGAAAAAGGCACATCCTTTTTGGGTTATCAAAGTTTTGGTGTTTCTTAGATAATTGTTATTTTATAATTTTAATGAGCATTCATGATTTTTCTGAAATTCTACTTTTTTAATGATAAAATAAGGATATATTTTAAATATACCAAGTAAAAATATTTTAATCAAGTAAAATCAAATCTTATTATAATGTAAATTATTTAATGAGTTTTTTTAAAAATTATATGCATGATCTTAAAAATAAGTATTTTGAAACAGATATATATATATATATATATATATATATCTTTTTAGTTTAATTTTAATCAATTTTTCATTTGTTTTTATTCCCACTAACTTGACTTTTCATCATTCCTCGTTCCTTTTGTTTATTTCTGCCATACCCCATTCTTTGTTTAGTTTGGTATTTGGATGAAAACAAATTATAATTTTAAAAGTGATTTTACGATATACGAAATAAATATATAAGAAAAATTTTGTCTTGATTTACGTAAAAATATTTTTTAAGAAAAATTTTTTTGTTAACACAAACACTCCCTTGGTCCAATCCCATCTTAGACCTCATATCAACTTGCTAGCTACTAGCCAGGCATCGTAAATCATGAATAATTATATTAATGTCAAATATGGTTTTAGCTAAGATGTGGCAACGGAGACCCTCAACCTCAATCAACGGATTGTGCCTTCTCCTTTAGTGCTCTCCCGACGAACAGTAACACTGTAAATTATATTTTATAACTTTATTATAAATTTTATATTTTATATTGATAATTATTCAGGGATAAAAATTAAATAGATTAGATGGTGCCTAAAAAAAAATAAAGGAGAATTAGTAAGAGGTCTAAAAAAAAATTTAATTACCAAAAAATCTCAATACAAATGACCAGTCTGAACTTGTTGTCATTCCTTACTTTGAAACTTGTTATTTCTTGTTCTTTACTTGTTAACAGAGTGTAGAGTAATTAAATCCCTTCATTAGGATTTGATTATAAATTTCCCAAAAGTAAATAAAACTTAGGTCAAATTCTCTTAGTAGGATTATGACAAAATTTTCTATTGCATTCTGTCACACATATATATATATTTTTTCATATCATCTAATTTTAAATTTTCATGAAAAAAATAACACATTATAAACAACTTGAACTAGCTATTCACTAATACATTAATTTTTTAATTTTTTGGTTCATAGCTTTGTGCTATCAATGCATAAGGGCTCCTACAGCAGGACATCCCAAAAGCACCGTGATGATGAAGCGAAGCGAGGCATGGAGAATCCAAAGGGACTGAAATGAAGCTCATGGTAGCAGCAGAAACTGGAGAGCCCGCCAAATCTGTAACAAACCTTCCCCTTCTTCCTTACCATATCCCCCTTCTCACAACCAACCAACTTGAACCACCATGTTTCGCCTTCTCACTTTCTCTCTCTTCATTCTTTCTCTCCTTCCAGCTATCTCCTCCCTTCCATGCATCGGCGTCACCCACCATTTCTCCCGTTCGTCGTCGCCCCACCGCATTCCCACCGCCCTTCATTCCCTCAACACCAACTCTCTTCTTCTCCGAGATTCTGACCCTCACATCATTCGACCCTTCTTGTACACCAATGTCTCCGTCTTTCTCACCATCCCTAACAGCTTGGTCTCCCCCATTGCCACCAACCGCTCCAACGCCGTCCAGTGGCTGTACCATCACGTTGTGCCCTTCTACCCTCGCGTCAACATAACCACCATCTCGGTCGGCAACGACTTCACCGTCGCCTCGCCGCAGGCTGCGGACCTTATCTTCCCGGCTATCCGGAACGTCTACTCGTCGCTTCACGATCTTGGCATCCACAATGTCGCCGTTTCCACCTCATTCTCTTTCGTCAGCGTTATTACCAAGTCGTTCCCTCCCTCAGCCGCTAGATTCCAAGATTTCGCCGGGGTTGATATTATGGGGCCGCTCCTCCAGTTCCTGAGCCACACCAACTCGTCGTTCTTGATCAATTTGTACCCATACAACATGTACAAGCTCAATTCCGCCATCCCGATTGGGTTTGCTCTGTTTGAAGAGCACCCCTTCAATTTCAGAGACGATATCGCCTCTGGGGTCCGGTACCAGAACCTTTTTGATATGATGATCGATGCGGTGGTGAGCGCGATGGGGGCGGCTGGGTATGAGAATATACCCATTGTAGTGACAGAGACGGGTTGGCCGAGCACCGACGCCATTGCTGAGAAGGAGGAGGATACAAACGAGGGGTATGCCGAGATGTACCTGAAAGGTCTCGTGAAGCATTTGAAGGCCGGCAAAGGCACGCCACTGAGGAAGGAAGGAGTGGCGTGTGTTTACGTATACGAGCTGTTTGATGAAGAAGACGAGGGAACACGAGAATCAGGTCGGCATTGGGGGATTTTGTATCCAAATCTGACCAACAAGTATTCTCTTCAATTCTCTGGTTCTTGGTCTGCTAGGGCCGGGGAAGCTGAGGCTTGGGTGAAAATTTTATTAGAGGTTTCATTTGTTTCCCTTGTCTTGCTCTCTCACTAGAAAAACGTAGCGCTGGTACCATTCCCTGTCGCCCGTAAGATGTCAATTTTGGGTGTCTGTTTCGTCCTTGGAACTCTGATTTTAGTTAATAACTTTAGTCTGCAAGCTCAGCCGAAAGAGTCATTTCTTAACTGTTCCCTACTCAGGCTTTGGGACTGAGCCCGCGTCCCGGGTCATGAAGTTCTCTATTGAACAGTTATCGTCTCTTTGTCCTGTGGATGCTCTAACAGTAAGCAAACTGCAATTTTGGATTAGTGGTAATAAAAAGTGTATCTCGTGCTTAATAAAATTTTTTACCAAAAAAATCGTTTTTATACGGATCATATTGTTTTCAGCGAATTTATGCTCAATAGATGGGGTGTATGATAGATGTGGCCTAAGACGAAGACTGTAGCAAAGAGAGCCACGGCCTTGAACGAGCCAAAGGCCCTTCATGGGGGTTTATGCTGTTGTGATTTAAATTCATTTATAGATATGATATTAGGAGCAGTACTGGAATTAAGTCCATCACAGAATTCCGACCCTTTCGCTCTAGACGTTTGATATATCACGTTCTTGCACCTTCGAAGTTCGACTTCTTTCCATGTTCACCAATCAGTAATCAGTAATCTCCTGTCATCTAATACACTAAGCCAAGTTGATGCCGTCCCGTCCTAGGAGAATGAATGATCATAGCGTGTAGGTTGAACATTATGTAAGGAGCATATATAGTCTTTGAATGATTAACTTTGTTCTTTTTTTTTGTACCCAAAAAAAAAACTTTAACATATTCTGGTAAGTTCTAAATCATTTCATACTTATAATTAGTTCTTTTAAACAAAATATGAAATTTAGTTTATTTGCAAAATTATTGCGAAATGAACTTCTATAAAGAAATAAATTTTGTATCTATTTCTTGTTTATTAATCACCAAATATATGCGACTATGTCCTTATTGGATTATCTGACTAATTGCGCATGACGGGACTGTCACCCCATGACCAATAAACCAATCTAATTTTATAAGTTTTTCATCCATTCTTTCGTTACTCCGGGATTTTTTTTTTGGGTATAGATGGAGGGCCCAGGCCCAAACGCTACCCCATATCAGACCTTTCTAACCTAATTCTCTTCTCGTAACTCCTCCCCCCAACTCGTACCCTGTCTTACTAAAGAAAAATTTAAACTACCCATAAATAACTTAAATTCATTATTCCGTTAATATCAACATTTTATTTGTCCCATTTTTAGACTGACAATGAAAAACTCATTGAATTTTGCAGATTATGCTTCCAAATAGAACACATTAAAATACAATTCTGGAACTACAGATGACTATTTTTCCCTTTCAATACTACAAGAGTTACAGGATAACAACTCTCACCACAAAAAATTCTAATCCACCAACCATGGATCTTGTAATACAAGAGATTTTCTTATTTTTGAATTTTTAAATTGAGTGTAAAATATGATATCCTTCTAGATGTCAGTCAGCTGGATTTCAAGCGACCCAAAGGAAATTTTTGGTGATACCCCCACTGGAAAATGGAGCGTCACACAGGGTAAGAATTGAGCATCCCCAGATACAACGAGAGCCAACATGGTATTAAATTTTTGGGAAAGTGTCTCCAGACTTGTTACTATTGCTGAGACCTGGTGCTTCTCAAACGATGTTCATCCCAATCATAGTATTCACACACTTATCCACATTTTTTGCCAACGCCGTGGCTGCTCCTATGTAAGTATCTGGTGTCAACTTTGATAGATCTGTCTTTACTTCTTTCGGTATGTCCAAGCCTTCAATGAACTCTCTTATGCTTTCTTTAGTGACTGACCTCCCCCTGGTCAAGTCCTTTAATTTCTCATAGGGCTCTGGAACCCCATATCTTCGCATAACCTATATATGAATTTGCAAAGGCAGCAAACATATATATTAAAACCATGACAATAGACAATGCCAGGGCAAATCTGCATACGAATACAGCAAATAAATCAAAATCATTCTATCATATAATGTCTGGAATTACAGAAGTCCATTGGCTACAAATATTCCTACAACCAAGTTTCAAGAAGGGATTTGGGGCCCGTCGAGCCGTGGTGCACAAGTGCTTCTAGCAATACCATTAATATTTGCGACAAATTTAGCAATTTTTCTAATTCAACTGGGGCAGTTATGTCCGACAATTATTTATATCTGCTTCTGATTTCATTTCATAACAGCATGAATTCCTCGTTTATCTCCCAAAAAAAGGTTCTCACCTTCTTGTGATGGGGAAATACAGATGATTAGGAAACAGCTTTTATTCCAGGCAGCATAGACAAACAGGCACTACGAAATACAGCCATCCAATTTTATTCACAAGAATCAATAACTCAGATAGCACTAAAAATTGTCTCTCGCACCAATTCGTGAAGTGAACTGTGTTAAGTGAATATCACATCACTAATAGAGCTCAAGCCAAGTATACTCAAACATTGAAAATGAACAAATTATCAAACCAGTGGAAGTCAGAAGCATATACATACAGTCTGTATTGGTTCAGCTAGCACCTCCCAGCACAGGTTCAAGTCTTCACTCAAGCGAGCTTCATTGACCTAAAAGGGCAAACAAAACTTTAAAATAATGCTAGCTGTAAGAAGAACAGCCTATTGTGACATTATTTTTTCTCAAGGATTATACACAAACAGGAGGACTTTGATCTATGGGCTTGCAAGCAGCAAGTCACTGCAGATGTATACAAGCACTTTCTCAGATTAACTGCTATCAAAGAACAGAGGAAAGAACCAAACCTTATCACTTTACTTATTTTCATTTGAACTGGTAACAGAAAAGACACTCTGAGAAACCAGCAAAGCACATTCCACGTTATATATAGTACCTGAAGCTTTGCTATCCCTTGAAGTGTGCTTTTGTAGGCTAGAAGAGAATGGCCTATTACTACACCCATGTTCCTTAAGACAGTTGAATCCGTCAAGTCCCGCTGAAAATTTAAAAAAAAAATAAAAATTATTACTTCCAATAGCAACTTAAAATCAAACTATCAATGGTTCGCTACCACTCAATTGTAAGAGATCAATAGACTACAGCAGCTAAGACAAAAATGTTTTCCACATCATGGTCAAGCAACATATACATGTGTTCTAATATGCACACATGCCACAATTCATACTTGCTGCAAACCAAAATCCAGAAGATTAAATAGGCATGAGCTTCTTAGGATCATAGCTTAGATCGATTTCAATACAGACATGAAGTAAAAAATGTCGGATAGAAAAAGCAAGCTAATATAACTCTTGCCTGCCAACGTGAAATAGGCAACTTCATGCTTAGATGAGATAGACCTCCATTGGCCACTCCAAGATTACCTTCACTATTCTCAAAATCAATGGGATTTACTTTGTGAGGCATAGTTGATGACCCAATCTCCCCAGCCCTAGTGATCTGAAAGAAAGATATTGCATTAAGGAGATTATACTAAAAGTCCAACACCCTACGCTACTGATAACCTCTTTATTAGAAAGCTCACCTGCTTAAAGTAACCGAAAGATATGTAGCCCCATATGTCTCTGTCAAAGTCGATTAGTACATTGTTGAATTGGATAAGTGAATGAAACAGTTTAGCCATATAGTCATGACTTTCAATCTGTTACCACACCAGAGTAGTATAATCAAAAGGACATGTAAAGTGATCGATAACAAGTTTAAACTAAAGTGAACTGCTGTCTATAAACTTATAAATCCACAAGGTCATAAAATTGCAGAACTTCTTTATGATTTTAAAAAATGTTAACAAGATAAAAATGATGAAAATTTTTAAATAATCTATATTAGTGCCAAGAGGCACAGCACAAGCCTTAACAATTTCCCGAGTCTTGACAGCCTTCAAGATATGGTTTACCAAATAACATATAGTTGTACCGCTCTTAGCATAAAGAAAAAGAGAGGAACATACCTGAGCAACATAAGGATTAAAACTCAACCCGAGAGATTTTACAAACTCTTCTGCAATGCGAGGCCAATAAACATCAGGATATGCCACAAAATGTGCATTGTAATTTCCGACAGCACCAGCAAATTTCCCCAGTATCTCCACCTCAGATAGCTCCTTCCTTTCTCGGCTTAACCTCACACCAAATATTGCCATTTCTTTTCCCAATGTAGTTGGTGAAGCAGGCTAGAGGAAAGTGAAAAGGACGGTAGAGTGAATTTTTCATGACGTTGCATAGCATCAAAGTTCATGTACCATCATCAACACATCAATCAATATATATAATAAAATGAATAATAAGTCACACTATTATTCACAAGTTATGAATAGTATAACTTATTTTCCATATTTCATCCAATACATAAGGAAATGCATAAGTTTAAAACTATAGAAGACACTAAATCTTAATTACTAAACTAATGCACAAAATAGACTACCTGTCCATGTGTGCGTGAAAGCATTGGGACATGCGCATTGTCTCTAGCCATCTTACATATAGCCTTAATTAATTCATCCATCACAGGAACAATGACTTCGTGCATCGCTTCTTTCAGCATCAAGGCATGTGCAAGATTATTTATATCCTCAGATGTGCAAGCAAAGTGAAAAAATTCAAGAACCTGCAATGAAAAAAGAATAAAGTTTCAAAATGTTATGAACTATCAGAATTCATTATGCCAAACTGAAAGTAGTGCACGGTCTCATTGAACAAAAGAGAAAAGGAAGTGAAGTGCAACCTTAGCTACTTCTTCACTTGACTGGCATTTCTGCTTCAAGAAGTACTCTACTGCTTTTACATCATGATTTGTCACCTTCTCAATATTTTTTATCTCCATGGCATCACTGATGTTAAATTCATCAATTACTTCTTGTAAGTAAGATTCAGCCTCTTCACTGAAACTTGGAACCTCCGTAACTTCAGGAATTTGAGACAGCTGAAGCAACCATTTAATCTGACAAATAACATATTGATCAAATGAAGACCAAGATGAGGAATAAATTCATCAAAAGTAACAGAGAAATTAGCTCACC